ATGGGTTAAAACTTAAACAGGGGAAGTTTAGATTGGACATAAGGAAGAAATTCTTTCCTGTTAGGGTGGTGAGGCACTGGAATGGGTTGCCCAGGGAAGTTGTGAATGCTCCATCCCTGGCGGTGTCCAAGGCCAGGTTGGACAAAGCCTTGGGCGACATGGTTTAGTGTGAGGTGTCCCTGCCCATGGCAGGGGGGTTGGAACTAGATGATCTTAAGGTCTTTTCTAACCCTAACTATTCTAGGATTTACCCTAGGTCTGAGGCCTGGCTACTTTTAATATTCACAAAGCAAATATTATCCATAAAGTAACTATTCTGCCACACATGCAATGACTCCTCTTGAAGGGATGAGCAGGATGGAAAAAGTGATGTTTTAATCTATTTTACTGGACTGCTTAAAATTGTTTAGTTTATGATCATAATGATAGCGTCTACTGTTTCTCATGTTCTTGATCTAATCTTTTAGTCATATAAAAGAGTGGCAACAAAACCAGGACTCTACTTGTCACACAGATAAGTAGCAAAAACTCCTGCATATACTAAAAATCGTCACAGTCCATATGCTCATCTGTATTTCCTCATAATGGTCTTCCATTGCATACAGCTATTTTAGCTGTTGTTTTTGTTACAAATCTGCCACTATCAAAAAGCAAACCACGTCATTCATCACCTAAACCTCAAACAAACAGCACAGTTTCTGCTCAAAAAGGTCACATGCACTTACACAGTTTAAGCTTCTATACATGTTTTTAAACTGAATTCTGCATTACAAGTGAGAGACAGAAAAAAACCCAAGTAACTAAATCAGTCAGAATTTATTCCTTTATTTCCTACCCACGTAAACCTAAGGCGATGCAAGACATAACATTAAGTAACCAGGTGAGGGTTTTGGTGGGTTTTTTTTGCACTCCCTCATGACACTTCCGCATTTGCATCTCCTTGAAATACTAAACTAACTGATTTAGTCAGAAAGGCCCACATGAAGACCCAGGTAAAGGGTTCTTGGCTCTCTAAGCTGTAACTTCAGTGGGAACATTTCTGTAGTCAATGAAAATTAGATATTTTCCTTTCTTTTTTGTCCCAAAGTAGGTTTGATTTTCTCCCAGATCAGGATAGATTTCACTTTGGAGACTTTTCAGAATAATTTTCTATAGTAAAAAATTACCAATAACTTGAGTCATATTGTTCACTGCATGAAGTAAGAACAGGAAAAAATGCTGACTCCACATAAACCAGTTCTGAGTACAAGGTTGTCAAGAAGCTAAGTCTGAAAGAAGATCACAGGATACTGCTAACAGAGCCAAACCAGCACATTTGCTATTCAGTGGCCAATGATTCCACAGATATGTTCAGGAAAAAAACAAAGCTACCCCAGCCCCATCTAGGCGAAGATAGACTATTTTATAGTTGCCTCCTCCTTAATCAATACTCTATTCAGTAACCCTGCTTTCCAGATATTTTAATATTGATATTCCCCCCCAAAACATAAGACTGTCATCTCCATAACTTTAGTTCATAATGTAATTACATGGGATGAGCTTAGCTGACATAAATGAGACACCCCAGGCTAAAGAACCAAACCTCTTAAAAAACTATATTTAAAACCTGTATGACTGTAGGAGCTTGTATAATTACAGTTATATTGTACACATACAAATAAGCTGTCCTTCTAATACTGCAAGTGCTCATTAAAGATCAGTTGCATATGCTTAATTAATATCAGCTCTTCAGCTACTGATCCTGTGCTACAGCAACATTATGAAAGCTGGCAGATTTTGTTACTGCTTCCACTGTAAGTACCCTTCTCACTGTGGTTTTTTTTTCAAACATGCCTAGAGAAAAACTTAAAAAGACCAAACCCAAGGAAATGAACATTTTAAGTTCCTATTAGCAATCTGAGATATAGTTAAGATTTTTTTAGTTTGCTGCTACTTTAGGTAACTCATATCAAACAACAAAGAAATAGAATCAGATTCGCCATTAAAAACCCCAATCTTTGTAATTTATAACAGCTAACTTTGTTATAATTAAATAAAAAATGTAGGTGCTCAAGACGACCTGATTTCAGGACACATTTATCCAACTTCCATTTGAAAGGACTGTAACAACTTCATGTTAATGTGAAAAGTCTTTAAAAGGTTTCAGTATGATAGATTATGATGAAACTTCTTTAGTACAATTGGTGTAAAAGAAAACATTCTAACATTGGGGTTTACCTTCCAATACACCCCCCTTTCCTAGATCAATTATTTTCTTAATGAACTTATGAAAGAGGTAGTCACAGATTTAAAATAAGAGTAGAACAGCACATTCACTGCAATCTCCACAGAAGTGAAAAATTGGAATTCTAGAAGCACTCTGTTTAACTAACTTCATCAGACTCCTAGCAGTGTGGACTGACATGGTACACGTGTAACTCACCAGCATCCTGCCAAAATAGTCCTCCATGTCACTACACTTCAGCTATGAAAAGTTCTGCTCTACAATCACCTACTGAGAATTATAAACATAACCACATTAAGTATGAAAAATGGTAAATGCAAACTTACAAGCAAATGCTTGGCAGCTTTCCCTTTGAACTTACTGTATCTTTCTTTTCCTCTTCTTCAGCAATACTTTCCACCCTGCTTTGCCAAGTAAGTTACAAACTTGCTTTTCAGTCCCAAACACCAAGGGCAGAAAGCCCAGACCAATCATTTCTTTGAAAAGTCCTCCTAAAACAGCTAGGTAAGCCTCAGGAAAACAGATTTTGCATGCAGACACAGTTCTTGGTCACATACCTCTTAACACCTTAAATGCTGAGTTTACCCATGTGAGCAGCCTCAGTGATTTCAGCAGCACCATCACCACACACAGATTATGGGTGTTGTAACCCATGCTGAATAAGAGGGGTTTATTTGCTACTTGCAGTACTGCAATGAAGCAGGCTCAGAGGCAGCCTGCACTGCAGCACTGGACCCACTGGAAGTCATTGCAGAAGGGACAAGATTACCGATATTCCAATTCCTATGTTTTCTTCAGAAAGAAATAAGCAGACCAAAGTATATGGGTTATGCACATATGATAAGTTCTCTGACTACTGGACAAGCTCTATTCCAAATAGGCTAAATAAATCACTTTTTTATATTATTCAGGTTTTAAAGTGAAAAACACTTCCTGTTACCTGGGAAACAGATGCTTAATGACTACACTTTGGTTACACAGTACTGGAGAGGAAAAAAAAAAAAAGAAAAAAAATCATAAATCTAGAAAGCTATAAAGTAGCATGAGTGAGCTATTCAGCCTGCATCCCCTACATAACCCTGAGGTACATCTCAGCTGGCCCCATTTAGGTAGGCCAGAATCAAAGCCACAGAAAACCAACACACACACCAGGGAACTTCAGTAACAAGCCAGTGGAGGCCTGCCTACAGAAATCAGTACTTCAGTTCAATATAAACGGAAGACTCCTCAGACAAGTCCCCCTGAAGGAATACACTAGAACCACAAGTTCCACACATAAGCAATCCATAATATACTTTTACTAAGAATGGCAATTTGCACCAATTTCATGTTACATTCTTTCACCTACCTCGTTCCTCCATCATCTGCTCTGCAGCTGGGGTTTCAGGAAGCGAACACAAAATCAAATGAAAATAACTTAAACTTCAGCAACAGTAACAGATAAGGACAAAGAAATGATCTCAAAAATGCACAGCTTTTTACTGATGCTTATTTAAAGGCTGGAACAGACTGAAGGTTCTTCTGTAGAGTTCTTACAATTGCACACATCTCAAGCAACAGAATTTCGCTTTTCTATTGTTTGCTGTTTATCAAGATTGTTCACTGTTGCCCGGAAGCTGATGTATTTCCACAGCACTTAAACTTGCTTCTCCTTTCCAAAAATTTAGGTTCAGAGTGATTCATGTGGCTGCTACAGCGCATACCTCATTAGGAGAAAACACGTTCTTTTGGTACAAGAATTAAAAATGAAAATGAAACACCAATACAAAATCCTGCTCCATTAAGCACTGAAGCTTAAATTCTCATGGTTTAAAGATAAGGAGAAAGTATACTTTCACAATGCTATTTGTATAACAAAAAAAAAAAAACAAACAAAAAAAACAAACAACAAACACTCCAGGAATTCCTAGTTATATACATAGAACCTGCCAGCACAGCTCAGTTCTTAGTACTCAAAGACTGCTCTAAGGCCCCTGCCAGGCAACTTCTTCATTTGATGGGAAGTTATGGACACACTGTATTAGAACTGCAAGCACATTTCCTTACTAGATCTTTGGTCTGTCCGTACTTTAAGAAGGGAGTCATGAGGGAAAAGCATGTGATTTCAATGAGATTATATTTCAAAGTGGGTTTAAAAAAACCATGATTGCAAACTTGCAACAGTGTGCCTGAATTCATACCCTTTTCAAAAGCAATTTCTAAATATCAAGTTTCCAATCCCAAACTGATCTGGTATAAACCTAGTGATGCAATAGGCCATCATTGCTTCAGGTTTTATAATTCAGAGATTTCTTTATCTACTGGGGGAGGGGAGCATGCCTTACTATTAAATAGCCCTCCATACTTCTGACATGAATCTTTACAGCCATTATTATCTAATCACATATCAGCAACTCAACAGCAACAACCCATGCTCCCTCTATATGCACTTCAAGCAAGCAAACGAACCTTTATTTCTTTGATTCAAGTAACTATGATATTCCCAATTACATCTCAAAGCCAAAACACACCAACATGAACTTCACAGGAAGCAGATAAGCAAGTAGGCCATGTGTCTGAAGGTGTACACAGTGGTATGTTTTAAAAGATTTCAATCATTCCCTGTGAAAATAGGGATTTGGTGACTCATGAACTCCAACTCACCCATGTCCTCCCAGTTGTCTCCACAACCATAAGAAACTAGACCATGACATTTCTATACACTCTATGCCTCCCAACAGGTTTATTTAACTGCTCCAACAGGTATGCTGATGGGAAGGATGAAGACTACACCCACCTACTCATCAAGATCAGGAGGAAGCTGCAGCTCTGCTTTGTTATGAGGAACACAGCACAGGAAGGTGCTTTATGTCCACACTACTCCCTGTAAGAACGCCAGGACATAATGACCTTGTTCTACATTAGTGTCTCTATCATCCCTTAACAAAAACACTGCAGTAAAATTCATTTGGAAGGTTTCTAGTACTTGGTTTAGGTACATGAAAAACACTACAGGATGTTTACTTCACAGTTTTAGCCACTTCCTGTTAGTTAAAGGTTGGAAGGATATTTTGGTGGCATCAATTAATTACACCACAATGTTTTCTGCAATTTATTCAAAGGCAATAGTTTCAGAGACTGTCAGAAAGACCATAATGCACTATACAACCCCAACAAAAGGTTTTCCTTAGCTTCTGTCCTTGCAGTAAAAGAATCAAGAGGGGCAAAAGGAGAATGATACAAAGTGAATTCAAAGTAACTAGTATGTCTTAACTTGAAAAGACAGCAGCATGCTTCTGCTCACAAGTTTTAGTCACTATTTCTTGCTTTCAAACATGTATTCTACACTTCAGCAGGTATTGATAATTTAAAGAAATTATACTTAATGGTACAGCTCTATGGTTAAGCTAAGCCAACCTAAGATTGCATGGTCACCACAATGGACCCAAATTAAACATACTCATGACAGAAAGTACATAAACTAGTGAGCATGTCCAGCTCAGGGCAAAATTTTGTGGATCCACTAAACCAATATAAAAGCTGCCTGCTGCCTCAGGGGAGGTCTCACTCCCCACTGCCTTCACTAGTCTTGCTTCTGGCAGTGAAGTTTCCTCCTCCTCCTCCCAGTAAGCTTTAGTAGGTCTCACACCCTTCACAATGCTGACTCAACTCACTAGCCTAGCAGATAACCATCCAGTCTCTTCTGCCAGGGCGGCAAGCTCACAGAAAGGTCCAACAATACAAGTCACCAGAGAACCATGTGGCAGAAGCAGCAAGGGACAAGCTGGCACAGAGAAGAAAAAGAGGGAAGAACAGGAAGTCCACCTTCTGCCAGGGGTAAGCCATTCAAACCTTCTTCAACTTCCTCCACATCCTAGAACCACACGATTGCTAAAGCTGACACAAAGAGGAGGCGTGAACACACAGACACCAGAGGAAGCACAAAACTATTTCCTTCAACAACCAGAGCTCACCCAGCCTGTGCAAACCACAGAGCCACAGCCACTCCAAACATGGGCTCAGTATGGGACAGCAGGGCATAGCAGTGACAGATCTCATCAAGTCAAGGAGCTGTTTGCCTCTCCATCAGCTAGAAAGGTGATACCAGGCACGGACAGTGGGTCTGTGCATACAGAGCAGCCACACATTCAACAGAATTACATTGAGTAGACACAATGGCGCAAAACACAGAGAGAGAACGGCTAAAAGCACAGGGACAGGTAAAAGGGAAAGTTGCCTAACACAAGCAGAAGTAAACCTACAGGACCGACAGTCACTTGAGTGGGGAAAAACAAAAGAGCACATGCCTTGGTCTGACAACAGGAAGTAAGATTATACCGAGCTTGTTTAGTACTGGCACCTCAATAGTGGGCAGACTGAGCATGGTCAGATGTAGTGGACGCAGGCAGGAGGCACTGGGAGCTGAAGTGTAAGCACAACCATGAAGAACTAGAGACGGACCAACAGGAGTTCACGCTCTTGAGCTGGATCAGGCATTGCTTCAGCTACTGATCATTTCCCGCACCAGCTGCCTACCACCCTCCATCTGCTCAAAGGCGGGTGACCCCAGCAGCGCTCACTGTAGACTGTGCCACCGCCGCACCAACCCCAGTCCCACGTACTACAGATGCTGCCTCTCTCCTTGAACTTCCCAGCTCCCGCATCACCCTCCTCAGAGCGCCCTCACACTCCAGCAACGACCTCGACCTACAGAGTCCCACAACAGATCCCTCCTGACCGCCTCACATCGCTCCTCGCAGCCACCCCTCCACACCCGCTGCCCCTGTCCTTCCACTCTACGCTCCCCAAACCCTGCCCCTCACCGGTCCCAGATAATACCGCCCAACACAGCCCCGGCCTCATCCTGCCACTCTCCAAGGAGCCGGGCGCCCACAGCTCGCCGCCACCTGTCACCCCCAGGGTCCCCAAACTCCCGGCCCGCCCCGCAGCCCCCTCCCCGCCCCGCTGCGCGGCCTTGTCACCCTGACACACCCGCCCCGCTTCCTGCCCTCCCTGCACGGCCCCCGCCGCTCCTCCGCGACCTGTCCCCCCGGCCCGGCCGCTTCCCGGCGGCACCTGAAGCGCGGCGAGTCCTTCAGGCACTCCTCGAAGTCCACGGTCACCTTCATCCTCTCCTGCCGCGGGGCGCGCCGCTGCCTCCGCTGGTGGCGGCTGTGGTGGTGGCAGGGAGAGCCCGAGCCGAGGCCGGCCGCCGGGCGGGGCGGGACTAGGCGGAGGCGGCGCTCATGGAGAGGCGGTGAGGGACGGCAGCGGGACGGCCGCGGCGGGAACGCCCCGCCGAGCACCCCTCTGCCCGCCGCGCACGTCCAACCTCGACTGACGGCCCGGGCAGCCAATGGGCGGCAGCAAGCAGCAGAAACAGCCAACGAGACGCCGGCGCAGGCGGGGCTTCCTCCAAATCACCGTGGGGCCTCGGAAGGGCAGCCTGCCCACCCAGTCGCAACAGCAGGGAAGCGCTATGGCCAACTACAAAGCGAGAGGGGCGGGCATAACAGGACGACAGCCCTCCTCTTGAGCGCCACCCAGAGGAGGCAGCCGGGGGCCGCAGAGATCACTCCCGCACAGGGCGTCCCTGGGAGTAACAGCCTGGTGAGCCGACGGGAAAACAGCCTTTGGCCTCCCACCAATTGGCAAGTCCCACTGCTACGGCTGTCCTGAAGGCCAATCCCACCGCTGCGACAGGCTGCCCCTTGTCACTCGTTGCCCAAGGGGGGTTGCGGCGCGGTGGTTGGTGCCGGTGGTGCGGGCCGGGCCGTTCGGCTCCTCCGGGTTAACCGTGAGAAGGTGAACCCCTGGCATTCGGCCGCCCGCCTGTGGAAGCCGGGCCGGTTGTAGGGAGCAGCTGGTCCCGCAAGGGCCGCGGCGCGGGCGGGCAGGCCCTGCGCTGGGAGCTCCCCCTCGCTCCGGCGGGGAGCCCGTGTCGCTGCCGGGGGTGCAGCAGCAAGTGGTGAGCCACGGAGGAGAAGCGGCAGTTCGGATGTTCTCCGGGGTGTTGCAGGTCCCGATCCTGGCGGTGGCCGGAGATCTGTGTTGCTCTGTAGGAGGGAGGCGAACAGCAGGGCTTTCTGTACTAGGAATGCCACGTGTGCGTACATGGGTTTTGCACGGAACGTTTGCCTGGGAATACTTACTGAAGGATTTTCGGGCAGCAAAGGGGCTGTATCATAGAGTGGAAAGGATCGTGTTGGTCCTCTCCTTCTTCATACGGAAGGACAGCAGAACATTGTAGATCACTGATCCCTTAAGAAAAAAAAGGAGAAAGATCGGCTCTGGCACGGCTTAGTGTTCCCAGCTGTAAAAATGACAAAGGCACATCAGCCATCCACACTCATCCTCAAAGACAGTGACCGAGGAGGACAACTTACTGTACAACTTAGAAAAAATGAAGCAATGTCACACCAAGTCACGGGCTCCATCCAGCAGGATGTGGTGCTGGGAAGCAGATACGAGCTGATGGCAGTCATTCTCAGCTCCTTCAGGAACCTGGAGCCTCTGTACCTGCTCTCATAGAGCCTGCTCACTCCCTGCGGTGTTCAGGCTCCATCCCTCCAGTGCCCCGTCATCTGCACCAGGCTTCGCCTGTTTTTTTTTTAACCTTTTTTTCAACCTTTTTTCTCAACCTTTTTTCTCATCCCACCCTTTCTGGCTCCCCTGATGTCCTTTTGGTAGCACAAGAGAAAGAATGAACATGGAAGGATGGAGGGAAATTTAAGACTCCTCTCTCCTCGAGGTTGAATGCCTGCTACACCCTTACTGTCCTTCCCTCAGTTACAGTGTCCTTTCAGAGAAGCAAAGGGAAATGTTTCAGTTCAGTCAGTTGTGGTTTAGGGTGTTGGGTTTTGTTGCTGTGTTCCCCCCCCCCAAGACTGATGAAACATCAGATGTAAACTGAGTTACACAGGTGTAATGATTGTATATTATTGTGAGCTGCCCCTCACCGAAACTAACCAAACTACCACTCCTTTAGGTTAGGAGTTGAGTACCTCTATCATACCCACAGAGGAAAAGCAGCAAGTTAAGAAATGCTTTTATCACTTGGGCTGCAAGTGTTGTGAAATCCACTTTTCAAATAAAGTATGACATTGGAAAGAGAGCCCAGCTCTTCTTTTCCTTTTAGGAACAGTTTTACTTCCTGAGGAGTAGTTGGTGTTAGTCATTTTCCATTACTCAATGCCAGCAAGCGATTACTCAATGCTGACCATGAAGACAGATCAGTCTTGCTTTAAATCCTACAACACACAAAGAAAACTACCTTGGAAAATGCAACCTATTCTGTGGTGCTGCTGCCTTAAATTCATGATTCAGGCCCCAGATCTACACTACACGCTGTAGCCAAGCATGTACAAACTGATGCACATCAGTTACACTAAAGAATACTTCCTTCTTTGTAGTGATGAGGAAACCGCAATATTGGTTTAAGTATTTGCCCATGAACACACCTGAAGACCTCACAGAGGCTGCCAGTTTCTTCTGAAAAGCTCCAAGAAGTCAAACCAATACACCTAGTGTTAGTGCCATAAAGCAGCAATGAAAACAATGGTTTTATTTACACTGTGACATTTAACACTGGTTTCAAACAGGACAATTACATTGGTGAGGTGGTATCATGATAAACGCCACAAAAAGCATGTTACAGAAAGAAAATTCTAGTAAGATACACAGGTTTAACATGAGAGCAAGCTGTGGAAAAAAGTATTTGCAGTTTCTATGAACTGCAACTTTTCACACAAGTGTGTGAAAGAAACTTTAAGGACAGGGAAGAAAAACTTTAAAAGGCAGAGTTAAAGCTCTTATTGCAAGTTGTCTTGCTACTGGAAGCATATTGAAATTACTTCCTCCAAACAGGGTGCAGCGTGGGGACTTACCCCTGTGCATGAAGCTTTACAATTACGATGCTGTGGAACTCAGTCTCCATATTAGTAAGGCATGCATGTGTTGTCCTTCCTCTTTACTGTATGAATGAGATTTTACCATAGGTTTCCCCAGATGAAGATATGCATGCAACCTGAGTCCCCATCTAATGTAAAAATATAAAAGGCATTTCCTTTCTTGTCCCCATTTACCAGGGGACTACACTTTGTATTTCCAGAATAGAAGGAAATCAGATATCCCTTTGTAAAAGAAGCTATATCGAGTATATGTAGTTACTGCAAAGTAAGCTTGCCTATTTTAGCTTTTAAAATGCATGAAGGTATAAACCTGAATGAAATCAAGTAAACCAGGCTTTCAGTTAAAAGTGGTGTCAGGTGCATTGGGTTGGACTCTAGGTGAGCAAGACAAGGAGCACAATTTTTGCTGAAGAGAATGAAGAGTACAAAGCCTTTAATAACACCCATAACTTAAACCAGCACAAGTTCCAAAATGGCATTTAAATTGGAAGCACCAAAAAAGGGAGATCACCCAGATAGCACAAAATAGCTGACTGATGAAGGGATGTTCTTAGGTTCATTCAAAACCATCTTGCTGCATTTATGTATACTGTACCTCCCTCAATGCTACATAACCATTTCAGCCAGGATTTTGGAAGCCATTACAAGAAAGTTTTCACTGGAAATTAGCAGAGCCTTTTTTGTTTATTAAACAAAATGCTTTGTCGGCATTGTAGCCTAGAAAGCTGAGCACCAGAATGAAAATGAGGTCTTGAAAGACCAGCATGTGGGTGACAGGAGGGCAAGACATAAACTTATATAAAAGCTGCTTCTGATGGGTTCAGCTTTAATTGCGGGTGCAAAGTACCCAATTGTACTTACCACAAAGTACAAGTCATCTGTTTTACAGCCTTGCAGAAGACATCTGCATTACCCATACACATTGGTCAAATTCTCTATATTGACAAACTGGCATCACTACACTAGACCAAACAGTGTTCAAATCTTTCTTGTGAAAAGATGGTATTAATCCTGATCCAGGCCGTTATTAAACCAAATATCCCACAACGGACAACCCTGTGGAGAGGAGAGAATTGGGAAAGGCACACTACAACACCCAGTTAGTACAACTCACAAGTATCTTTGGCAATGCATCCATTCCCGTTAATTACTCCCGTATATATCTTCCAAAGAACAGCATCCTATTACCTTATTCATTCTCAATCTCTGTGGGATTTCATGAAAGCTCACACTTGAGAAGGCACGTAACTGTAAAATAACTTTCATTCCTTTATTCAAACTTCACATGTACAGTGGACAAAAAGACATTTTAAAACAGGTCCATATAATTATATGGATTTTTGCAACATATCAAATTCAGATCAAAATTAAGATATACACTATATTTCATAACCAAGCTAAAGCTTAAGTGTATACTTCATTTGTGTAATAAAACCCAGAAACTATTCTGTATACTGGAACATTCACCAGTCAGATTTCACCAAGTGGAAAGTTGTTTACAGCAATTTGCAGGTTCAGAATCCCTCTTTATAGGGACTGTACAACCACACTGTAGGCAAGTATCTGAGTTAAGGAGTTTCCCTTCTATTTTTCCACAGAGCCTTCACTTTACAAAACCAGCTGCTGTCAATTGCAATGGATACAGGAAGATTTAGACCAGCAGTTTTCAGTATGCAGGTTGCCAACCCCAGAAGAGATCAGCAGCAGTTATCTTTATATAAAGAACAACCAGAGCCTAAACTCAGCTCATCTTCACAGTCCTGATGTGGTTTTGCTTATAGTTGGGTGTTTTTCCTCAGATGCTAGTAGCAAAAGCACTCTTCATGAAACTGGAAAGGACCAAAAGTTTGATACAAGAGCCAGAAGAGTGACAGTACATGTGGTTTTAAGAGAAAAGCTGGAGGGAACATCCACATTCTCAAGATAACCCAAAGAGAGCTCCACAGAACATCCAGTCCCGATGGAAGAGATAAGGACAGTTAAACGCAAAGTTCAAGTTAGCACATTTCCAGTGTAAAAACATTCCCTCCACCAGATGTTAGTACTGCCTTAGTCAGAAATAACAACCAGTTCTGAACACCAGTCAAAAAGTAATACAGTTCTTCTAAAGATGGGGAAAATACAGGTAATAACGTACTGAAATCTAAATTAACAGGTCCACACTTTACAAAAAAGTTGTAAGACTTAAATAATCCCTTTTTAAACAGCATAACACATTTGATAAATAGCTTGCATGTTAATCTGATATATGCTGTACCATTTAGCTCTTGAATCCAAAACCTTTCTGTAGGAGACATCACACCTAGCACACCGTCAAATAAATAGTGAAAACCCAAAAGATACTGTTTCAAAGCGTGAAGAGTTAACAGTACATTACGCAAGATAATCAGCGTTATACATACAGGGAATGCCATACTGGTTGAACAGATTATGAAGCAGTATTCTCCATGAAATACTAGGCACAAGAACAAATCAATTAGACAGGTTTTTGT